CACCAGTTTGATTCCCAGTCAGGGCACATGCTCAGATTGCGGACTGGATCCCCAATAGGGATGCGTGCCGGAGGCAGCTGATCAATGATTCTTTCATTGATGTTTCTATCTCTCTATCCCTCTTCCTTCCTCTCTCTAATAATCAATAAAATCATTTTTAAAAATAATAGAAAATGGGGGCTATGAAGTGCTTCCTTACAGTAAAAATGTTAATAAATGTAGGTAATACTAGAGTTTTGTGTGTGTGTGTGTGTTTTTAATCACAATTTTGCAATCATCACTGTAATAATCACTTAGGGCAGCGGTTCTCAACCTGTGGGTCGCGATCCCTTTGGGGGTCGAACGACCCTTTCACAGGATCACCTAAGACCATCGAAAAACACATATGTAATTACATATTGTTTTTGTGATTAATCACTATGCTTTAATTATGTTTAATTTGTAACAATGAAAATACATCCTGCATATCAGATATTTACATTACAATTCATAACAGTAGCAAAATTACAGTGATGAAGTAGCAACGAAAATAATTTTATGGTTGGGGGTCACCACAACATGAGGAACTGTATTAAAGGGTCGCGGCATTAGGAAGGTTGAGAACCACTGACTTAGGGCAAGAATCACCAATGGATATTGAAACTAGTGGGTGAAAGTTTAAGGAAGAACCAAGGTATCTCTCCACGAATGACATTAACAACAAAGGGGAAACAGCAACCAGAAAGTGAAGAAATCCAGTGGACATCACCGTATCCAAATAATCCAAGTGAACCTATCAAGAACAAGGCAAATCACTATCTTTAGGCCTTCTGATTAGACTCATGAGTTCTGGAAATCTAATGGACAGCATAGTGATTGTAGTTAACGACACTGTCTTATATACTTGAAAGTTGCTAAGAAAGTAGATCTTAAATGCTCTCATCACAGAAAACAAATGGTAATTATGTGTCATGATGGAGGTGTTAGCTAACACTATGGTGATAACCACTTTGCAAATATATTTACAATATCAAATCAACATAGTATACACCTTAAACTTACACAACGTTTTGTGTCAATTACATCACAATAGAACTGAGGGGAGAAAAAGCCTTCTGATGGGATACACTAAGAACTGGGCCCCAAAAGTGTCAATGTCTTGAAAGACAGAAAAAGGCTAAGCAACTGGTCCAGTTAAACCAGACTAAAACGACAAGAGACTAAAAAGTCAAGATGATAACCGAACAGAATGTATGATGCTAGATGAAGGAGAGGTGAGGATCCATGAGACAGACATGGAGCCATGCCCGTGAACCCAGACTGCCTATTAGATAACAAGTAGATAATGTTAAACTTTCTGATTCTGACCGTTAGTCTATGCTAATATAAGTTCCTTGTTCTCAGAAAGTATATCTTGAAGCATTTTGGTATAAAACCACGGGGTTACCTGTACTTTACACTCAATAGTTCAGAAAAATAATAATATAGATAGAAATACAGAGAATGAAAAGCAACTGTTAATAGTCGGTACAATTGGATGAAGAATATGCAGGTTTTTTATATACTTTTTGCAGTTTTTCATTAGATCAGAAATTTTATCATAATAGGTTTAAAAAAACACAAAAATCTTCATTAAAAAAGTCTGGTTATGAGAAGTGAGACTAGTATTTGTGGATATTCTCTGAAAACTTTGCCTCCTAGTAATTCCTTTAAATCAGGGGTGGGAATGTCGGGCCATATAAGGCCCTCAAAATCATTTGGTCTGGCCCTGCCAAGGCATTAGGGGTGAGTTAATTGTTTGACCACATAAAGCAGGCTAATTTTTAAACTGATAATTTCTGTATGCCCTGTGAATGATATGATAAATACCCAAATGGCCCTTGGCAGAAAACAAGGTTCCCCATCCCTGCTAAACGAAGCTTTACCTTTAGATGGAGCAGACCCCTGGTCCATACTATTCCTGGCCCCCAGTACACTTGTGCTCAGCAGGTTTGTCTCAGGGTTTATTAGAAGATTCTAGGCTACCAGTGTGAAATTTATTTGCTATAAAAATACTATATTAAAAAATACTATATAGTACACTGCCCACTAAATCATTGGTGTCTACCATGTATAGTTCAATGTGAATTCTTCTTTTAGAATTTAGCACTAGCCCTAACCGGTTTGGCTCAGTGGATAGAGCGTCAGCCTGCGGACTCAAGGGTCCCGGGTTTGATTCCGGTCAAGGGCATGTACCTTGGTTGTGGGCACATCCCCAGTGGGGAGTGTGCAGGAGGCAGCTGGTCGATGTTTCTCTCTCATTGATGTTTCTAACTCTCTATCCCTCTCCCTTCCTCTCTGTAAAAAATCAATAAAATATATTTTTTTTTAAAAATGGAATTTAGCACTAGAAAAAGCTTTCACCTGAGAAGCAGGTATTTCTCTTCCTTCCTGATGACAGGAATTACGTAATGACAATGACTCTTACCATTATGTCAAACAGGAAGAGTGAGGCTTGACTACAACCACCACAGGCCTACACCTTAGGGTGACTCACGAGGCCCATTCTTTTCTTAATTTTTAAAAATATATTTTTATTGATTTCAGAGAGGAAAGGATAGAAATATCAATGATGAGAGAATTATCGGCTGCCTCCTGCACGCCCCCTACTGGGGATCGAGCCTGAAACTTGGGCATATGGCCTCACTGGGAATCGAACCGTGACCTCCTGGTTCTTAGGTCGATGCTCTACCACTGAGCCACACTGGCCGGGCACCAGGCCCATTCTTTTCCTTGGTCCTGGTTTACTTTCATCTGCATTTACCCCTTTTTATACTATTTTGACGTAAAAAGCAATCCAAAAACCATTTTAGCTCTCTGGAAATACAAGAACTACTAATATGGTTTAGGTAAATGTAGGCTCTTCTGGCTGCTCCTTCTGGCCAGGCCCTGGCCACTGGGCATTTGTAGTGACCACAGTCACTTCCACGACTGACTACGTGAGACCCATTGGGAAGACTCCCTGCCACTGTTTCTAAGTCTCGAGGCCAAAGCCTATGGCAGCCTGAAGACAATGACATGACTTGGGGCCATAAAATAATAATATCCTGAAGTTATAGCTCCAAAGGGGCCAAGTTCCACTGATCACTTAACCTCAGAAGGTCAACACTGTACACACATTTTAGGCATTTCGAGCAAGAATGATGAGTACAGTCCCCAGTTTACTAATAGTAAAGGTGGCAAGCCCTGTGAGCATTATTTGTATTGCCAAGAAATGCTCTGGATTTCAACCGTTTGACAAGACTAGAAATACAAAAGCAAAAATCTCACATGCAAATGTGGGAATGAAAAATATTTTTACCTGCTGCCTTTCCTCTTAATACCACCAGACCTCAGGTGGGCATGGGGTGATCACTGGGTTGTGGGAGGAGGGAATGTTTGTGAGGGGAGCAGATGCCTCAGGGAGCTGACAGTTGAGGGAGTGTTAATACCAATATTGACTTTGGCCTGTGTTTTGGGCAGCAAAATGACCTCTAACATAAAGGGCCACAATACTTCTGGTATAACGTGTATTTCAAAAAGAATTAGTACAGCCCTAGCCCGTTTGGCTCAGTGGATAGAGCATTGGCCTGCGGACTGAAGGGTCACAGGTTCGATTCTGGTCAAGGGCACATGCCTGGGTTGCTAGCTCCATCCCCAGTAGGAGGGATGCAGCAGGCAGCCAATCAATGATTGTCTCTCATTATTGATGTTTCTATCTCTCTCTCCCTCTCCATTCCTTTCTGAAATCAATAAAAATATATTATAAAAAAAAAAGAATTAGTACAGGCAAAAAGGCAGTTTTTTCCCAGATGGCTGGTGTCTTTAGCAGAGGGAAAAAAGAGATCAGTAGATGAACTGCAGCAAATTAAAGACACCCCCACAGGGTTGTCATGGAAACTAAACCCGTTTTTGTACAGAAAAGAAATCAAGGCTAAGGTGAACATGCCATGGACTATTTCATGACAAAAAAATTATTAGAATCCTGTCTTGAAATACTTTAAGAGGCTACATTTCCTCCCAGGTCATTTTAATAAGTTCTTCATCTATAAAGCAAGCAGGCAACCTGGAATTCCTAAACCACCAGCTGGCGGTATTCCGCAGCACCTCCGTAACATCAGGAAGCTTGGGCCACCGAGAGCGAGCTCCGGAAATGTCCCAGAAGGCTCTTGCATACCTTAACAACATCAAAAGAAGCAATCCCACCCAAAAATAGAGGAGGAAAAAGAAAAAAGACCTACACCACAACCCGGCTTTCCCAAATCTAGACTTTCTATTTTTCAAAATGGGGCCTTTTTCACTTTTTAAGCGAAAAGGCAAGTCTACGCAAACTACAGCAAGAGCTTAGTAGCCCTAGTGAGCCACTGGATGCTGGGGAGAGCAGATCAGGTGCCCGGTGATGGCGGGATAGATGGATGGAGGACCCATAACCACCGCCAGGTGGAGGTG